CCCCCCCCCCCCCCGCCATCCTTTGTGTCCTTCCTGGACACTTTTTTCCTTGCAAGATTTCAAGCCTTTGGATCCAACCTACCTTCCCTTTGAGTTCACCAAAATCCACTCTACTGAAGTTTAGTATCTGGATCTGACTCTTCTCAGCAACTTTTCTCCTGGCTATCACAAATTCAAAGGTAAGAGGATAGCTGTGCCCCAGTTTGCCAGTCACTTTTACTTTTTCAACCAATTCCTCCTTTTTGGTACAGATTTTAGGTTGATGATAACAGACCCCCTTTTTCTTTCTTCTGACAAATGAAGTTGTCAGCAAGAGAAGACAAGAACTTGTTTGACTTCTGAGTCTTGCCAGAGACAGATTCGCAGCAAATATCAGGCTAATTGAAATTCCCCATTATGACTATTGCATGCATCTTTGAAAGATTGGTCATCTGATGCAGAAAGGCCTTATCTGTATCTTCTGCCTGCCCATGTGGTTTATAATAAACACCAACAATGTTTTTGTTTCCTTTTATTTTCACACAAATACAACAGGATTGTCTTGATATGACTCATCAATTTGTGTGCAAGTATGTTCTCTTAAATTTGTGTAAAATGTACCCCCACACACCTTTTTTGTTGTTTCTTTTTAATGAGTTATAGTTTCCCAGAGCTACATGCCAATCCTGACTGTCATCTGGCCAAATTTCAGGGATCTCTAATTCACCCTGTTTACTTCCTATACTCTGCACTGATGTAGAAACATCTGAGGTTTTGAGTGACATCACCTACTGGCCTCTCTGTTATAGTTTCCCACAAAACTCTGAGTCTCCACCCTGGCCCTCTGCTTCTCGCTTTGCATTCTGCTTTCTTGGTTGCTTGGCTGCATATTCAATCCTGGGGCTTTCAGCAACTTCCCCCTTTGGTTCTAATTTAACTTCCTCCTGATAAGGTTGGCAAGGTACCTGCCAAAAATTTCCTTCCCAGTTTTCATAAGATGTAGCCCATTTCTTCCCAGTGATAACTGGAAAGTGTTTGTGGGTAGCTGGTAT